TAGAGGAGGGATAGCATTAGGAGAAATACCTGATGTAGATGATGGGTTGATGGGTGCAGCAAACCACCATGACACATGTATACCTATGTAACAAACCTGCACGTTGTGCACATGTACCCCAAAACTTAAAGTATAATAAAAAAATTACCCATCATATTACAAAACTGTTCACATTTTGGTATCTTTTGTTCTCGTCCTCATTATATTATGTAACTGGGCTCATTCTATATATATGTTTTTGTATCCTGCTATAAAACATTTACATTCTATTATGGGAAATTTGTAATGTTGCCAAAATTTATCTGCAAAACCCCCTAATTATTGATGGTTTATAATTGGGCATTTAGACTTCCATATTTTTTATTGTCCTAGGTTATGCTGCGATAATTTTTTTTTTAAAGACAGAGTCTCACTCTATTACCCAGGCTGCAGTGCAGTGACATGATCATGGTTCACTGCAGCCTTGAACTCCTGGGCTCAAGTGATCCTCCTCCCTCAGCCTCCTGAGTAGCTAGGACTGCAAGTGTAATGCCACAATGCCTGGTTAGTTGTTTTTTTTCTTTTTGTAGCAATGAGGTCTCACTATATTCCTGAACTGGAGGAATTCTCCCCCTTTGGCCTCCCACAGTACAGGGATTAATAGCGTGAGCTACTGTTCCCAGCCTTTTGATAAATATTTGAACATGAATTTCAACATGAATCCTGATTTACATTTTTTTCTTATTTCCTTGTGACAGGTATCTAGATGAGAAATTTGTGGGTCAAAGGATAAGAATATTTCAAGGCACAAGATACCAATTCCTAAATTGCTTATAGCAAATGTTGTTAAAAGAGGGGAATTGGCATGATCAGATAAATGATTTTTTTACAGCTAACTCAGGTGGCAGAAGCTAGGGAAAAGATAATTACAGCTTGGACTAAACTGTGGCAGTGGGGATTAGGAAAGTGTGGATGTAGAGATGGGGATGAGGTTTAGTAATATTTCTAAAACAGAGCCGGACTTGGTGACTAAATATTGGAGGTGAGAAACAGTAAGGAACCAAAGGTAACTGCCTACCTTTCCAACCTGCCTAACTGGGGTAATACTGATATTAAAACAGAAAGTGAAGATGGCAAGGTGTGCAGATGTGTAGGACAAGACAATTTGATTAGAGATTTCTTTGATTTGAATTATATACGGTACCAGTTTTTAAAGGCTTTAGGTGGAATCTAATAGGTATTTGAAAATATAGTTAATAGTAGAGAACATCTGCTGGTTTTACCTGCCTGGCATGTGGTGCTAGCTTCAGGAGTTTTTTTTTTTTTTTTTTTTTTTCTGAGGAGGATCTTTGGGTAGCAATCTGGTTAGAAGTATTGTCTTACAGTTGCATTTATTTACTAAACATCTGTTTTATGATTTAGATTGCAGGTGTATTTGGTTTGGTAAATGAAGACTGGGGAATGCTAAAGCACCCAAGTCAGCCCGGTGCAGCCCTGCTGGCCCCCATTCTTTCTTATTCCGGTAATACCATTTTGATTTTCTTTGGGAGGATCACTCCATCCCTACTCCCCGTTCCTGTGGTTTTGGCGCACCTGGTGCTACTCTATGGATCCAAAGGCGATATATAAGTCAGCCAATCAGAGTTAACCAGGCTAAAGTCTAACAGTTTCCAGGGGAACTGCTGAGAAAAGCTCTTTCCACAGTGATTGCTAAGCGGGTGGAATATAGAACTGGAGTGGCTGGCAGTTATTTTGCTTGTCTGGCAATGAAGTCTACTCAAAGTAGAACTGAGTTAATTCTGATGACCTGTTTTGTTGCTGTTGTTGTTTTGTTTGTTCGTTTTGTTTTTTTGAGACGGAGTCTTGCTCTGTTGCCCAGGCTGGAGTGCTATGGTGCATTCTCGGCTCACCGCAACCCCCGCCTCCCGGGTTCAACCAATTCTCCTGCCTCAGCCTCCTGAGTAGCTGGGACTACAGGCATGAGCCACCACGCCCGGCTAATTTTTTTGCATTTTTAGTAGAGGCGGGGTTTTACCATGTTGGTTAGGCTGGTTTCAAACTCCTGACTTCAAATGATACACCCGCCTCAGCCTCCCAAGGTGTTGGGATTACAAGTGTGAGCCACTGCACCCAGCCTGATGACCCGTTTCTGATGACATCACTTGAGCCCTAGGATTCAAGTGAATTGATGCCAGTGCTAGAACTTTTCAGTCTTATGAGGCATTAAAATTCCCTTTTTATCTTAAGCCATTTGAGTGGGTTTCTGTCACATACAACCAAAGAAGTCCTGACTAATACAGTATTGGATATCAAATAAGGTTCAAGCCTGGACATGATGGCTAACGCTGGCTCACGTCTGTAATCCTAGCACTTTGGGAGGTTGAGGCAGTAGGACTGCTCAAGCCCAGGAGTTTGAGGCTAGACTGAGCAACATAGTGAGACCTCATCTCTACTACATAATAAAAAATTAACTGAGTGTGGTGACACATGCCTGCAGCCTCAGGTACTTGGGAGACTGAGGTAGGAGGATCAATTGAGCCTGGGAGGTCGAGGCTGCAGTGAGCTGTGATCACACCACTGTGCTCCAGCCTGGGTGACACAGCAAGGCTCTGTCTCAAAAAAAAGAAAGAAAGAAAGAAAAGGTTCAGGTTTTCAAGTATTCAAGATACAACTAAGAGGAATCCTATTGTGACTGCACAACATTCTCTTTTCTAATTAATGGTTGATAAATATGTAGGGAACAGCTATTGTAGTACCAGGCACTGTGGTAGGCTCTGCATGTATAATAGGCTGATCAAAGGTAAGACTATAGATATAGATACAGATATTTTTTTGAGATGGAGTTTCACTCTTTGTTGCCCAGGCTGGAGTGCAGTGGTGCGATCTCAGCTCACTGCAACCTCCACCTCTTGGATTCAAGCGATTCTCCTGTCTCAGCCTCCCAAGTAGCTGGGATTACAGGCGCCCGCCACCATGTCTGGCAAATTTTTATATTTTTACTAGAGACAGGGTTTCATCATGTTGGCCAGGTTGGTCTCGAACTCCTGAACTCCCGCCTCGGCCTCCCAAAGTTCTGGGATTAGAGGTGTGAGCCACCATGCTAGCTAGAAGTAATTGCATGACTTTTTTTTTTTGAGATGGTGGCCTGCGCCACCACACCTGACTACTTTTTTTGTATTTTTAGTAGAGACTGGGTTTTGCCATGTTGTCCAGGCTGGGGAATTTTGGTTTTTATGTTTTCTACACTTTGCCTTAGATTTCTTTATAAACCTAAGGGTAGCTAATCAGTAGACAGCACATGATTTATTTGCCTGAATTTTAGAAATATTTCAAATATCTCGAATTCCATACTAGGAACTCAAGTTTCAGGAACTAGATTACCAAAGGGGGTGATATGGTTTGGCTGTATCCCACCCAAATATCACCTTAATAATCCCCACATGTCAAGGGTGGGGCCAGGTGGAGATAATTGAATCATGGGGTGGCTTCCTCATACTCTTCTAGTGGTCATGAATAAGTCTCATGAGATCTGATGGTTTTATAAACGGAGCTCCCCTGAACAAATTCTTCTTGTCTGCTGCCATGTGTGACTTTGCTCCTCTTTGCCATCAGCCATGATTGTGAGGCCTCCTTAGCAATGCGGAACTGTGAGTCAATTAAACCTCTTTTCTTTATAAATAACCCAGTCTCGGGTATGTCTTTATTAGCAGCATGAGAACGGACCAATAGAATACAGGGGGTATTGGAGCCTTCGTTTGGAATACTTAACAAATGTCCATTTGTTGATGTGTATAATTTTTTGTTTCTTTCTCTCACATCCTTATGTGCATTACTTTCACAGGATACAGATGATGGAATATCACCGAGCAGTAAGAGCTTCATTAAGCTTTCTGATGTGAGACACTGGTAATACTGGATTATATAAAGTTGTGAGGGTAAGAACTGATCAGGCTTGCTTTTTTCTTCCTCTAGTATTCATGAATGGTTCATTTTCTAGCCACCTTTGTGCCTCAGCTGTCTCTTTTGGTTTTGAGTCACCAGTTGAGGATGGTTTAATTAAGAACGTTTTTGCTTCACACTCTACCCTTGGGTCATTAAAATCGTAATGGAAAATATGAGAATGGGAAAATAAATCATGTAAATCTCTTATTAATCTGAGTACTTAAGTTTGTATCATAGGATCCATAAGGTATTGTGCTGAAAAATCTGAAACATAGAAAAAAGTATATTCTTCCACCTGCTTGTCTCATTAAATTTACATGTAACCAGTAATTAATATATCACAAATGTATAGCAACAAAATATTTAATCTTTTCTAAGTTCACTGCTTGAATTTAAGTAATCAACAATTTTCCTTTTTCTCACAGGGGGATTTCAAGGAACTCACTAGTGAATTAGAACATATTCTTACTAAAAAACAAAAAACGCTCTCCAGGTGACAAAGAGAAACGATGTGCTTTTGCCCAGGGTACCCTACATGGGCCTCAGAGCCACTTCTCAGGCCTGATTTCTTTCTTTCCAGTAGCTGCCAGAAAGCTATCCTGCATTCCGCTTTTTCAAATTCTGCCCAGAATGGAAACTCTTTCAGTTTACTTTTCATGACATTTATGTAAATTCCTTTCAGATGGCCTTTATTTCTTGCATGTAAACTGCGTGTAGATTAGAAGTCATAATCAAAGCCAAAACGGTAATCCTGTCTCAAGTTAGTAACTGGCATCTTTGAGGAAGTAGACATGGGATAACATCTATTCCAATATATCTGTACTACACAGGAGTCCACCCCTTTTGGAGTCATATTTCTTGAAACGATGGTAGTTTATTTTAGCTTTTGTCAGATATCTGTCTTGGTATTTCCTATGGAAATCAAACAGTAATTTTTAGACAATAAGAGTTCATATTGGTATATCGTGAATTAGTATTTTTTTGGTCGTAAATCTTGTGGCTATCCTGAACTTAACACTTTTTAAATTGTGGATTTCAAATTATTTTTACAGGTATTGATAAATCTTGTTCATATTCCTGTTAGAAGAGGACACTTGGGAAACTGAGTAGGAGGGGAAATGACATAGTCAGGAATTGATTGCTCCCAATACTTTTGTTACAGGAGTTTTCTACAGGATCACAATTGAAGTTATTTAATTAAGAGTAACTGTTGGTGATGTCCCAAACAGTCATTTTTTTAAAACTCCAAGTACAATTTTTTTTTTTTTTTGCAATTCGGAAATCAGATCTCACGTGTCAATTTACGATCTAAAGTCTACTTGCAGCTTTGCGGTCACTTAAGGAGACATACACTTAGAACCAGGCGCAGTGGCTCAGGCCTGTAATCCCAGTGCTTTGGGAAGCCTGAGGCAGGAGAACTGCTGAAGGTCAGGAGTTGGAGACCCGACTGGGCAACACAGCAAGACTCTGCCTCTACAAAATAAACTTAAAAACAAAACAAAATGTTTGCCGGGCATAGTAGTAGGCAACTTTACTCTTTACTACTCGGGAGACTGAGGCGGGAGGATCGCTGGAGTCCAGGAGTTGGAGGCTGCAGTGAGCCGAGATTGCGCCACTCCACTCCAGCCTGGGCCACAGAGTGAGGCTCTGTCTCTAAAAATAATAATTTAAAAGCACATTTAGGAAGCTTGGCGTCATTCCAATGTCTGGGTCCGAGAGCACTATGAGGCAGCAAGACACACAAGGTATCAAGCGTAAAAAAGAGAATTTAGCATCCCGGTGTGGATTTTCCCAGGCATAAACGTGGCCTACGCTGGGTGCAGGGACCGTAAGGAACAGGCAGGCGCTTCCCGGTTGAGGACACAAAGCAGCGGGAGCCTGGGGTCGCCGAGGGTCAGCCTGGGCTTGAGCGGCTCAAAGAGGGAGGGCTCCGCGTCCCGCGCGCGTGTAGAGACGCGGTCCCAGCGACTCCGCAGCTGGACCGTGG